ATTTTTATATAATGCTATGAACGACATGATCAGCAATCGGCTTACACTTGGATACATTGTTTCTTCTGATATGCACACATTAATTATCGAGGTTTTCAATAATAGTAAACTTTATGCAAATTCGGCGTACGCTGATTTAGGCTTAGCACAACTATTAACAGAACATCTGTTTCTTCAACATATTGCATTTGTACCAAGTGATCACCTCAATTCTATCACCTCAAACCAGATTTCTTCATAGTATCCTCTCTCCGTATTATATTCTGATTTTGCCATCACTCAGCAATCTGGAGACTATTCTTACGAGACAAAAAGAAAGAGAGCGCCTACAAACCAAACTTCATCTCTCTAGCGTCTAACGATTTGTAGTTATTAATTGTATTTTTGTGTAACACATCTATTCATTTCTAATCGCATACACATGCAATTATTTTTCAATACAGTTGAAAACAATGTCAAAAAGCAAAAGAACTCACAACTCAATAACACAAAAAACGAACTAGTTAGCGGCTCCGCAAAGAGCGGAAGAAAGCTTTCCACACACTGGTTAGCTTGTTTGTAAGAAATAGAGCGAATAGTTTCGAAAAAGGTCGCTCTTTCCGACTTAGAATAGACTTCCTTCTTTTAAATGCAAGGTTCTGAAGCAACCTTCAATTTTTCTACTACAGTAACTGGATTATATTGGTAGGTTACTTGGATATACTGATTAGGAAATTGCTGTGCACTGTTGGTTGTACCAAGATTGTCAGCTGAATTAGCATTTGAGAAAGATGAAGAATATCTAAGGATAGAAAATGATCCGACATTCTGAGGACTTGCCGCACCAGTACGGTTAAAATGAACATCGGTTAGTGTCACACATATAACACCTTTTGCAATTGCTTTAATACTAACATTAATTCGTGCCACGTAACACTTGATTTTACACATTGTAAAGTTTTGAGTACCTGTTATTGTGATAGGTGTTTGTTGAGCTAAATTTACAGCATAAACACCAGGCTTGAAGTCTATATTTGGCAAAATTCTCAAACGCTTCTTATGCGATCAGTTTCTCTCGTATTTGAACAAACACAGATTTTTCTCTAAATATCAGTTCGGATTTCGCAAAAATAGTTCCGTGATGGACGCTCTTCTGCACCAAATATACGGGCTTCCTCAGTGTATAGACTCAGTTAACGTTTGCTGTGTAAGGATATCAAAATAAAACTGCACAGAAGTGAGAAATGCATGAAAGGTTGATGTTACAACAATTGTGAGTATCCTCGATGTAATATCGCTTTGCCGTTAATGACTCTCAGGATGTAGCGATGATCAGTTCGGTTCTGCTTGATGCTACCTAAGGACACACTTTCTTTTTAAGTGACCCTTTTATATCAAAAGTTGTTGTTTTTCACTTTTTTTTGTGACATATAATCTGCGAAAGAGATGTGTCTCAAAAGAAAACTTGTCCAGAAATTCGAGTGTGAAGCATTGTAACTAGCGAAAATGAGACTTATTTAAATAAGGGAACAGTAAGGAACAGTTTACTGTGTACATCCTCTGAATTTATTACCTGACTCTCTATTTATACTGATTTTTCCTTTTCAGATAAAGATTATAACAAGATCAAAGCATTGGATGCTAGCATTCAAATTTGATTGCACTATGTTCTCGAAGAAAAGTCCAAGTAAAACATAGTGCAATCGTAGATAACAAACGGTGACTGGACAATGTGGAACTAGTACATACCAGTGCAATACAGCATGCCGTCCGCACCAGTAGCGTCGGCCTTTTTCAGTGCTATACTGAAATTTTTCTGTACGAGAGTCGATCATGTTTCTCATAAGAATCTTACAAGTCAATCTACGAGTTTTGCTGACTCTTATCAATTTCTTAGGAATTCTTGTGAGATTCTTACATGCTTCTTACAAGTTTCGTATCTGATTCTTATATAAGAATCGATGACTAGGGATACTCAATAATTTCTAGGTTGCAAAATTGTTTCTGAACTTTTTATAGCGAGAGTGGAAGACTGATTGTTTTTTCTTTTTCTATACTTGTTGTGATCAAACTTGAAATTCGATCAAATTTAAAATTTGCTCGGGCAGACTTAAAATTTTAGTTTTGACCCGAAGAAAATTTTTGGGCAAACTTAAAAGCCGGTCAAATTTAAAATTTAGCTAGTCAAACTTGAAATTGAAGTATCTTCTTTTCATATTACAAGAACGTAGATGAGACTCGCAAAACTTTTTTAATTACTAATGCCAGCTCGCTGCTATGGATGCGTCATTCAATTCGTTTCTTAGGGCGAGGTTCCAAAGACTTTAGATTCGGGCATGACCCATAGAGAACCGGTACTAAAAATGTGATTTTTCATGATGACACCATGCTCTTCGTTTCTACTGTCTGAGCAGATGAGATATATAACTATGTCCAGTTTGGTTGCTAATATCACATTTTTAGTACCGGTTCTCTATGGGTTTTGTTGATTTGACCGGATTTTAAGTTTGCCCAAAAATTTTCTTCTGGTCAAAACTAAAATTTTAAGTCTGCCCAGTCAAAATTGAAATTTTAGTTCTGCCCGGGCAAATTTTAAATTTGACCGAATTTCAAGTTTGACCACAACATATTCGTACAATCCGCCATTTGATCATTTGATCATTTGATCGTATACGAAGCTTCTTCGATGTTAAATTTTTTTCTTATTAATACACCCGCTCTTGAAGAATCAAATTGTGTTGCCAGATAGAGTTAAAGTATCGGGCAATTTTTGACAAAGTTTGGGAATGGTACTGTATTTGTTTGATCTACTATAGTAGTTTTAACGATTGTTTCCCATTTTGCAAGCAAGTAATTAACAAAAAAATATATATATTAGAATTACAAATATATAGTATAACAATATGTGCTACTATGCGTCTTTTCCATCTATGTTATGTATGATTCAATAGGCAGTTTTTCTTACATGTTCTAGATAATCTTTTATGTAAATTGCTCCAATGGTTAAAGCTGTTCCCAAACATGAGGCAAAATCGTTCATTTTTTTAATAGATTTTTACTCGATTTTAGTTACTGCTCGATTCATCGTGGATGAAAATTTCGTGGTGTACAACATATTGTTTATTTAAAAAATAGTACTGTCCATCATCATGATTGAAGAAGTTCTTGGAAGAACTCATCATCAAGTTGGAAGAAGTTCTTCCAACACTTACATTTGAGATGATAAATCAATAATGTATCCAATGGAATAACTTCATTTTCAGTTAAAACGTATGTTATATTTTCTTATGTATTAAGATACAAGCTGGTATAGAAATTTGGTGAGTATATAATTTGGTTAAACGACTTCAGTCAGAAAAAAAATACATAGTTATTGACATAATTGAACATTCGTTTTAAGTACTCTAATAATTATGATTAATTAATCAGACAACGTTTAGAATTATAATATAAATTCTTTCTTTTTTATTAGGACGTATGTTTGCAAAATGGGAAATGGAGAAGGTTTGGAAAAAAACTTCTTGCTTGCAATTTGGAAAATGATAAACAATGAAAAATAAAATTGCTTGCAAAATGAGCATGAGCCGTTTTACTTCATCATTTTTGATATTTCACATTTTTTAAATCCGGGAGGATCCTTTGTACATATAAACAAACATCTACAACAGTCCGTCTGACAGTAGTTAAAATAAAGCAACACACAATGATACTAACAGAGAAGGAAAACAAATAAGAGAATAAAAGTAAATTTTAAAAACGACTAGAAAATGAGAGATATTTTTATTTCACTTTTATTTTAATTCTTTGGCTGATGCATCCTTCTGGGTATATCTCTTGTTCTTCTCGAGCCATTTTTAGAATTCAATTTTATTCTATTATTTCTTTTCCTTCTCAGTTACTATCATCCTGCCTTTTATTTTAACTACCGCCAGACAGACTATTTCATATGTTCGTTTGTTTATAGGTGCAACTTTCATATTTTCAGACCAACTGTCTTTATAGCCTTTTGTACATTTTTCCCATGATCAACTTAGACCGTTCAAAACCTTCAACATGTTCATAAAAAGCGTTAATAATTCTATATAGTGTGTACTACACTAAAGAATTGCCTTTAACAAAACAAAAACAACCGTCGTTTAGCGATTTTTCCTCGATTCGAGTCCATACAAAATTTTTTCTGAGTCCAGTCGAGTCCATGATCTTGAAACTTCGAGTCCAGTCCAGTCTATACGGAGCTCTGATGCGTACGATAAAGAAATGTTGTCAGATCGTTGTCATATTTTCCTAAGAATGCGTAACACACAATGGGCCCTCTATTATTATACTGAAAGGCAAGGGGGTAAAAACACCACTTCACCACTTCATTTCACTTCACCTAGGTAAAACGCTGCTGAAACGGTCGAAACAATAAAAATCACTTCAAGTTCACTTCAAGTTAAGCGGAAGTGGTAAAATGGTACTTTTGCTCACTTGCTTCCCTCCACCATCAGGGGCGCCGTTTCAGCAGTGAAGTGAAATGAAGTGGTGAAGTGGTGTTTTTACCCCCTTCCTGAAAGGTCTATATTCGTCAATTATAAACTGTCAGGCATAGAACGAAAGATATATGTGCGACTGACTTCCTTCCATCGTTTGTAGACAGTAGTATCTTGTTATCAGCAGCTAAAGAATGAATGCACCCTGTGAGTTGAAAGCTACTAATAGTACAAAAGCGAAAAAAGCGCTATGATAACCACGAAGTTTTATAAAATACTACTAGTACACGGTAGTGATCACCTATTTTATTCTCCAATTTTTCTAGAAGTAAACATATGAATTCTATCAATTGTGCATAGACTGCTCTATTGATCTTTCATGTCCGGACATGTCTCGAAGAACACGAAAAGATTACAAAGCTCTACTAGTACAAAGTCCACTAGTTTTAAATATTTATTAATAAAAGAAAAACACAATGTACGAGCTCGCAAATAAGATTAAAAAATTTATTAGGATTCTATTATTGTCTGTATGTTCATTTTTCCAAATTAAAAATGCGAAGTACAAAACTGTGTACACAACTTAATACTTTCTTTGTCACCACCAAGATGTGTAAATGACATACATAATGCAAATGTAACGGGGTTTAGTATTAAAGGACAAAATGTTTCCATACTTTTAACACCACCACCACAAGCAGTTGCACATTGTTCATGAGTTACTTTTGGTTTGGTAATACTAGGAACCGACGGCAATAACGAACCATCAATAGTACTAACGACAAATAAAGCGATAGCAATAGCTAGAATAATAATAACAGAAATTTGAGCCATTTTAGTATAATACTACAACTCGATTTTCAATTTCTAAAATAGAATGTTTTGATCAAAGATATATATTTCTAACCTACATCTATGTATTAGAGTACTATCGTAGAGCGTAAATTCGTCTTTTTCTTGATGTGGCATGCAGAATCTGTATGTAAAACATATGTGCATCTTGTCATATGCGAGCTAAAGAATCTACGGTCTACGATAGAACTCTATTATATAGATATATAGGTTTAAAACGTAGGAAAATAAAACTACGTAATAACTTACAAATCGATCAGATAAATTGAATAATAAAATTAAAGTGGAGCATGATGAAAAACCTGCATAGTAATTACTTTAATCATCTTTAATGTCTGTACATATATCTTGGAAAAAGCGAAACGATTAGAAAAATATTGTCAACATAAGTATTCATTATTAAAAGGAAAAATCGGACTATTTTCTAAGACGACGGTTTGAGATAATCTTGTACATACAGAACGACTAGATATCGAATGTTCTCTCATTTTTCTTTTCATTTTCGTGATTTTTCTTATCATAGCAGATGATATTCAAAAATGTCTATATCTAAAACTGGCGTATGAAAAAAGATGGAAAATAGAACGAATATATCGTAGTTTTCGATTTTTTTCTTTTGTATCGTCGGCGACATCTTCGTTTCTTATATGCACGTCAGAGATGTCGATGTTGTTCTTATCATTTGGGGACGAGACGAGAAGTGTCTGTTATACAAGGGACTTCTCATTACTGAAAGTGGCGTGAAGACCAATTCATTTTCGAACTTATCTGGCTGCTTTTTAACTTCTAAAGCAGAAGGAAAAAACAACCAATTTTAGGTAGTAAGACGACTATAGCTGAGGACCTCTGTGTGTTTTCTTAATCGATGTTTACTGTGCAAGGTATTGGAAATAAAAATGCACAGAAGTGCGAAATGCATCAGAGATTGAGATTGTTCAGAATTGTGAGTATCGTCGGAGTAAGACTGCGTTGCTATTACTCACTCTCAGGATGTAGCAAAAATCCGTTTGGTCCGGTCTGCCGCGCAGAGGAGTAGGGCACAGTCATTCCGTGTCATTCAAGGGCATTAGATTGGCTCTAATAACGAATCGACCCTAGTGATAATACATTTTCTCTACATGGACTTGCAAGTGCCGCGAAAGAATTTTAAAAATATCACCAGCGTTCCATGTTGCAAACTGCGTTCAAGAAAAAGCTAAAACACAGTTTAACAAATTTTACGTAAGTGTTTACCATAAGATATCTTATAAGCAATAATATTCCTGATATGGATTCTTCGACGAAACTATTGTTGTCTTATTTCTTAGTTTGATATAAGAGTTCTACTCTTAATACATGTCAGGCATAGGACACTATTATTGAGAAAGAATATGCAAGGACACCGAGAACATCGTGAAGCGAACTTGTAAATGTGTGCATTTTCTACAGCGAAGTGATTGATCTTACAGCACTTTCTTTCTTTTCCCCGTTTAGAAATATGTAAATGGTCCAGAGGGAAACATACCCCTAACAGATGAGGTGGCGGAAAACCTCATATCATAAGATGGTTTTTTTACTTTTTAAAAATGTAAAAGAATAAATAGCTTTGTGTGAATAAAAGACTAACAGACGTTTTTCATAACTGTTAGAACAAACGGAGCCATCATCCAGTTTAATGCCGCTACATTGGTCAACAGATTTTGTGATTCCTACGCGATCCTATCGGATTTTCATAGGGATCAGGTAATCAGAGAAGAATTAAGATTCGTACAGGTTGTGATTCTACAACAGGTTCCTATAGTTTGTGCGTTTTAACTGGAAAATAAAGTATCTGGTGAGTTTCTGTGTGATTCTACTGGCTTTCCGCTGTTCGTTTTTCCAAGTGTTCTGTTAGGTAAGATGTATAGCCAGTTTATGTACAGCATATAATGGAAAAAAACAATGAATTTATCAACAATGAATGAGTCATTCTGTTCGTTCAGAAAAACCAGTAAAAAAGAGAAACACACAAAAATCAGTTCTAATTTAGATTCTATTCAAAGAATGAGCAAAACCGTAATATCTGCCTTTCAATTAAGACACAAGATGTTACATCTGAAATCACCGTAACGGCATGTTTATAATAGACATCTAACAAAGATGGGAAATGTAAGAAAATATATTTACAATTTCTTACATTTTACATTCTTTCTCAGCTCACCAGAAGAAAAAGCGAACTTTTCTTCTGGTCAGCTGAGAAAGAATGTTAAAATGTAAGAAATTGTAAATATATTTTCTTACATTTCCCATCTTTGTTAGATGTCTAATCAGTAATCTAGACATAAAGTGTACTATATATAGTTTCAATGACGAAAAATTACGGAAAAAATAAATATATAAGGTTTTCACAAGAAATTACACTTACACATGTAATCAATACAACTCATACCAATAGAAATAGTAAATTTACTTCTACAACTCCTACAAGTGCTAAAAGTTGTTTTAAATGTAAATGAAATCTTGTATAATTTAATGAACCACTTTTTACTTTTAAACAAATACCAATTTCTCAATTATCAGACTAACTTTAAGCTACTAAGTAAAGCTGTGGTTTTTCGCCTACAGTCCTTTTTCTGAAGCAATAGAAAATTTTTTTTCAAAATTCTATGTCAAAGAATAACTTATTAGATGGCTCAAATTGCTTCTTTTACAATGTTCTTATCTAGTCAGTGAATACAAAACTAAGCAGTTCCAATTCAATACTCTTGTATTTCCTGAACTAATCCTTTCGCAATCTGAATGTTCAGTACCGAATAACAAAAAGATACGAAAACTCTTTCTCTACACACATAGACTTCATACACAGCCATTTACTTATGATGAGTTATTATTCCCTTACATTACTAGATGTGAAGGAAGGATTTAGAAAAAATAACATCTGCTTAAGCAGATTGTGTGTGGCTATCCTTGTTTTTTGCTTGATCAGTTAATCAACAAACAGAAAAATAGAAATAATGCTGTCGTTCGTGAACGAAAAGAAAAGCCTTGTTTACAAGTTAGACAAAAGAAGAAAGGGTGGCCCCCTCTTTCGGTTTTCATCGCTCATATTCAACTTGATTTCAAAAGGCTCGCTATTTGTTAAAGATTTCAATGGAGAAAAATTAGATAAACAGTACTAAGAGGCTCCAACTTGTTCAACCTTTAAAAGTGGTTTTCCTAAATAGTTTAGCCTTCTTTTAGCTCTTTCATAAGTATGATAACGCGGCAGAGTACGTTTTGGAATATAACTACCCTAGTGAAACTTCTTGTAACCAAGATCTTGACTTCTTGAATTTTTTCAGTAAGATCTTGATTCAAGATCTTGGTAAGAAAAAAATATAAGAATTCAAGAAATTTCAAGAAGTCAAGATCTTGAACATCTTATAATTTCTTGACTTCTTGTACCAAGATCTTGGAAATTCTTGAATCATCGTTTTGTTTTACATTCTAGTGTAAATAT